AGTTAAATTTGGAGGTTCCTTTTAATAACCAAACGATACAAGGGACGAGTTCAGCGTCTAGACGGAACGAGATGGCAGTCATGAAGACAGGAGGAGCCGGATTTGACATTGTCAAATATGATGGGCGTGGTGACTATCTTCTGTGGGAGAAGTAAGTCAAAGGCAAGTTGAAGACTTCCGATTTAGGCAAGTCATTGAGGCCTAAACCCTTTACTTTCAATGATGAAGACTGGAAGGAACTTCAAGAGCAAGCAGTGAGTATTGTTATACTCCATTTACAACCTTCAGTTCTGAAGCAAGATGATGAGTATGACAATTGTACTTTATTGTTTGAGGCTCTTTAGCGAAGGTTTCTTCAGCAAAGAGTTATCAAACATGTTGTACACCTCCTTGAAGCTGATGAGCTTCAAGATGAAAGATTCAGGTACGAAGATACAAGATCACATTGATGCCTTTGGTGACCTTGTTATTGATCTTCAGAATCTAGGAGAGGAGATAACTGATGAGAGGAAGGCCCTTCATATGTTAAGTTCATTACCTGCTTCATATCAGTCAATGTAACGAGTGTTGCTCCATCGTGATAGACAAATGATCACTTACAATGAGGTTGAAAGTGCTCTATTGACTGATGATCTACAGCTAAAGATGATGATGCCCTCTACTCCATCCTCTTCATCAGTGATTTACCAAGATCGAATGTGACCCGTGGACGGTCACAATCAAGGAATGAGAAGGATGGGAAGAAGTTTGGATATAGAGGTAGATTCATGTCTAGGGGTAAATCCCGAGACAGAAAGACGGTGGTCTGTTGGAAATGTAACAAGAGTGGTCACTTTAAGAAGGATTGTCGTGTGAAGACCAAGGCTAATGATCCTCCGTTGGCCAATGTGGCTCAAGATTTTGATGAGGACGATGACTTGCTCGAAGATGGACTATGAAGCCAGAGGTATGCCCTATGCAACTCACCAAAGGGTGTTGGTGATGCATGGATTATGGATAATGCTTGTTCTTATCACATTTGTTACATTAGAGAGTTTTTTCATACTTTCTCAATATCAAACGGTTTAGTTCTTAAGGGAAATGATCAACCTTGTAGATCTAAAGGTGTTGGATCTCTACAGATTCACATGTTTGATGGAGTCAAACATACGTTGACAGACATTAGGTTTATACCTTAAATGAGAAAGAATCGTATCTCTCTTGGAATGTTAGATTCAAAAGGCCTTGAGTGGAGTTCTAAACAAGGAGTACTTGAGGTAAGAATAGATGATAAGATTATATTAAGAGGACACAAGCATAGAAATCTATATGTGCTAGATATTAAAGCCTAGCCCCATGTTACCGGTTTGGTTCCATTCTTGTACGTTTTGATGGGGTCTTCCCATCCCTTTTGTTATTATACTTTCTCGGGCTGCAACATTCCACATGTCATCTCAAGATAGGAACTAATAACTCCACTACAGTTGAAGGACATGGATTCAAATCTGAAATTACCATTCAAAGCTGATGGAACAACTCGTTCTTCAAAGTACATCTGACTTTTGACGGAGGCCGCTCATGATCTTGTTGCATAACGAACATATGTGTGTCATTGTGTAATGGAGATTAAATTACTGAATCTATGGTGATCATGTTCTTTCCATATCCCTTCTACTCAATTTCATTGTCTTGGGTACCAAGTAATATAGCAAAAAGGACGGGAAGTCCCCATCAAGCCTTACATAGAATAAACAAAAGGGTTAGGATGGGGCTAGGCCCCAATAGCATCACAATATGTACTACTCACCTAATATATCCAAACTATCTAATCAAATAGTCTACATGAGCATATGAAGAAACATCACCTAACATGATTGCTCTCATATGAATTGCACCAGCCATTGCTCTTTATAAAACAATGGATACACGCTGCAGATTTCATTGTCTTGAGATTTACTCTTTGATCTCGCCTTTCATCTCCTTCAAATTTACATGATGGCAATAATTACTCTTAATGCTATTCTAATAAAATTTGCATTGCTTAATGGGATGTTTGCGTAATTGGCTAGTGTGTTGGTCTTAATAGCATTCGACAAATCCCAAGGTGGAGAGTTTGAGCCTTCCTCACCCCACACTTATACTTGGTTTGAGAGGACCAGGTTACTGTTGAGGACGTTATACATATCTTACACGTGATATAATTTCGGAGGGGATAATTATCCATCCTCATGGATGGGGCCCTTGCAATCTTTCGCGTGACATAATTTCGGAGGGAATAATTATCCATCATCATGGATGGACCCTTGCAATTGACTCGAGTTAAGGTATACTTATACTTGGTTAGGGAGGTCAAGGTTACTATTGATGACGTTATACGTATCTTATAGGTGACACAATTTTGAAAGGGGTAATTGCCCATCCAGGAGTATGGGGTCATTACAAATCCTCCTGGATGGACGGCGAGTGGAGATGACAGCCAAGGTCTCCAAGTACATGGCTATGCACAAATGTAGCCTCTTTCTTTCTATAGCCTTGGAATTTTATGAAACTTTGGACGCTGACTTGGACATGTTCATGAGAGAATGTACAAGAGCTGACCATACAATGCGACATGAGGTATCCATTTCTTTATCATATTATGTAATCTATTTTAGATGACATGTATATGTAAGGCATTTCTCTATAGAACACTATGTGGTGCAATCCATAAGATGTCAATATGGTTAGGTGATCATTATTTAGATTCTAGAGTAGTATGTAAATATGGTTAAGTGATCATTATTTGGATTCTAGAGTAGTTTGTAGACTGTTTGATCTATATAATTAATATATGTTAGGTGGAATAATGCATATTTACCATTGTGAAGCTATTGGAGTCTAACCCTTCCTACCCACTTGGTTTCACCATTTTAAGACTTGATGGGGTATTCCCATTCTTTTTGCTATATTAGTGGGTTTTATCTCTAGATCCTTCTTTAAGTTAAGAGATCTTTACTCGGAAACTATTGTGAAAAAATCATGTTAATACCATGTAGGATGAAGTTATTTGAGGAGTTTATGTGGTTAAAATACACTGTAGGGTCGTTCCTCCAGTAGGTACAAATTGATCTGTGAGGACAATCGGAGATAATCCTCCGTTTATGGTTTGGTACCGTCTAGACCCCAACGATGGCGACTGATGCTGAATTCTGAAGGGATATGTGATAGAATTTGTTAAGAAAGTATATAATTTGTAAGTTTCTGTAGTAAAGTTGCTCACGATTATAACAGAGTTCAGAAAACTGCAAAGCTAGGAGGCAATGACGGCTGCATTAATCAGGGAGAATCCTCCACATAAACAGCCTGCCGCACTTCAGGCTAATGTATCGAGGCAGCCGCAGAGAATAAGAAGAAGTAATCTGTTCGCTTCAAGCCAGCTGGGAATGTAGCACTACCACAGTACAGTAACAGAATGGTGTGAAACAAAAAATTGACGTTGCCCACCTCTTCCGGAGAGTGTGTGGCGGAGTTCTTGTGTGAGCTGTGTTGTTCTCACCCAGAATCGAAAGGAGCCTCTACTGGCTCGATGGCAGTATCTTCTTCATACCTCGATTTCGTCCGTCAGCAACCAACAATCGGTAGTGCAGCTAGATTGCACTCAAAGTTCAGAGTAACTTATGATTGTCTTGGCGGAGATGCTGGTGAACCCGTCGCGCGATGGCCCTGTACTGCCTTCTCTGTGTCCGTATGGTGCAACCAGCGACTGGAGTGAGAGAGTCTTCTGGGCTGCTGGAAGTACTGCGAGTGTGCAAGATCAACGAGCGCTTAGATTTTCCGAAGGAGTTCACTCCTGTTGAAGTTGAAGCGCCAGCGTGCTGTCGACACTTCTGTCACGATGGAGTCGCGAAACAAGGTAGAGTTATTTGCATGTCGCGTTCTGGGCATTCTACTCATGTGCTCGACGGGCGAATTGAACTTACGAGCACAAGGCGATGTCTGGCAGGTTCGGAGCAGGCAATTTCCTTATTTTCTGATAAACAGTGAAACACAGGTCGGTTGTGCTCCTGTTGACACGTAGGGCTCTCTGAGTTTGTTTAAGACCCTAAGGTTTGTGTCAAGAGGTTTTTGGGATATATATATGCGAACTTGGCACTGGTCCATCACGACTATACTTGAACAGGATCTGTTCTATAGTACGTACATCTTGATCTATGAACACTATCATAGACAAGTCCCTTAACCCGGAAGATGACCAGAGGCCTGAGTGTCAGTGCGCGATTGTTGCGGGCCGCGCTGGGTGCATGCTCGTGCTCGGCTCTGCTTGATGACCGTCCTGCCGCGCTCATTCCGCCGGCGGTGAAGACACTCATGCGTTCTGACGGGCGCTCTCTTATATTTTCTTTTTGTATTAAAATTCGCGATTTCATTTTATGCATTTGAGAGCCTTTGAGAGCCTTTGAGACTGAAGATCGTGTACCCCTGTCATGAAATTCAAGGTGTCGGAACGAGGAGACTTTTTCCTTCAGGAAGATGCGTTTAGTCACATTTTAGAGTTTGGGAATTCTCCGTAATTTTTTTTTTATTCACATGTCTCGTTTGTCTCAGTATCCGGTTGTCACCCTTTTCTCGATGTACGTCCTGCTGCGCTCGGTGAAGAAACTCAATCTTTCTGACGTGTACTTCTGTCTCAGATGGTCTCCGATAATCACAATTCATGCCATCTCTCATGTCACGCAAATATGATATCTGACACTACTAAATCATTTACACAGATTTATCACACACATCAGACCTTCAGTTTAGAACCTGATGTTTAGCAAGTGTTCAAAATCGGAAAACTACTTCAAAATAGCAATGTTGATGCCCATATAGTATAGTTCTAGCCCAAAGGCAAGCAGAGGAGATAGTCATCAAAAGTGTACAAAGTCAGATTGAAACTGCGATAATATGAGACTTGTGGAGATTTCTCCACCGACAGGATAATACTCTTTGTGAATTGCTGCACGTTGTCAGATGGGTATCCTGCACAACCAAAAATTCCAATTCCGTAACCGGGACTCGAACCCGGGTCGCCTGGGTGAAAGCCAGGTATCCTAACCATCTAGACTATTACGGATGCCGACCATAGTTGGAACAAAATCATAAAGAATGCATAATATTAAGAAATTAGTGATTCTAGAAAAGTCTCGAAACGATTGGCGGCTAAACCAAGTACTATATAGTCACAAAATTTAACAGTGTTTCGTAGTTTGATGGCACATAAAACTTTCATATCGTCTTCTATTAGTGAGATTTGAGGTGGACGTGGTTAGTCAAGACGTAATATTTAGAATGCCAAAATAAAAAAAATTCTGCACATCACATCACACATTGTTTGGTCAGCAGTGGTACTCAGTACATATGTGTGACTTAGGTGGTGACAGACTTGATAACCTTCAGAAGATCTCTGCACATAAATAAACTAGTGATCATAATATACAAACATGTCCAATGTGTCAAATGGACAGAGCATACCGATCATTCAATATCAAATTGCAGAAAGGATTTAATGTTCTGTTGACTATGTATATCAGGAGCACCATATCTTCTTACTATCATTCGTGTGTGTTTAACAGGAATATTAAGTAGTAGTTGAGAATTTTATGAAATGAAAGGAGTGGAATCAACATTTAATGATGAGAAAACTGTAAAAGCAAAACGAATTGGCATAACATTACGATATGCCAAGACAAGTTTAAAAGAATCGAAGTGTTCGGATAGAATAAATTACATACGGTCTTTGAGACAACAGAATGTATGAAAATAGATTGGAAATCATCTGATTTCGAAAATAAATAATCTTATAATTAATTTTTTTCAAAAATGTAAATAAGAAACATAAAAAAAATGGAGAAAATAAAACAAACTTCAGGAAAAAATTAAAAGGTAAAATTAAAGAGCTTCATATGTTATTCAAAACTCCTTTTAAAAAAAAAATTTAGTGTGCAAATCACTCTGATATATCACAAATAGTTTCGAAATATGTTGAAAAATTCTCAATATTTCTTTTGATTGAAAATTTATTTGTATGATATTAATAATAATGTGTGCATTTTTTCTGATGCTACCAAGATTAACAAATCATATGATTCGATTATTGATTTTTTCATAATTATAACACAAAATTAAAAATTAAGAAATGAAAGAATGCAATATCTAGATTAACACAAGAGATATTTTTTAAAAATATACATATAAAATTATATATAATTACCTGAATTGTAATTATTATTCAAAAAAAATTCATGTTTATTTACTTTTTAACTAGAATCTGATTTACAATTGCAAAATATATACTTCTGTTAATCCTTTGAATATGATGAATATATTCATATTAATTTGAAAGGTAAAAAAATATAATGAAAAAATTCATAATTTATGAAAATATATTACAAGAGATCAATTATACAATTTTTTTTTTTTGTCATATGACTTTCATGATAAATTTGCATAAATTTATGTTCAATTATTTAATTGTTTCATTAATATCAATAATACAGTTGAAATTTTAAGTCATATCCATATATTTTCAGTATGAATATGAAAGACTGATATAAGAATTATTAATTTATATCCTAAATGAAATTTATGATCAAAGATGTTTAAAGTTGATAAAATGATCTATCTTTTTAAACTATCAATGTACAAAATCTATCTATTGACAATTTACATAAAAAATGAATCAATATTTATGATGTTTTGTTAAAATTTATAAGTTGAATGAGTGATCAATTTGATTAACATATTTATGTATTATTATTTATATAATAATTTGATTGAAATAACATATATATTAAAACTATTTTAGTAAAAATAATACATCCATCAATATTTTTATACTTAAAAATAAAAACATTACATCCAATACATTTGAATCAACACATAAAATAATATCAAAAATTTTTATTTATGAGTAGAAATTTTTTCATTAGGTTATAACTATTATTTTCTTTGAAATAAAAAGTTTGAACACCTTCACCTTGTCAATTTGAGCCATAAATAATGGTTTTGAAAAACTTCCGAATTGTAAATTTCAGTATTGAAAGATTTAAAATTATTGCATGTTTACATAAACTATCAATATCAACATGTATACAACTCATGGGTTCAAAGTGATTTCAATTTATTCAACATACACTTCTAAAATCAATATAAACCTGACTTTTTGTAGTTGAAATTTTTCAGTCTCTATCTTTTATTTAATGTATAGTTTACTAATATACACTGATTAGGAACATATTATAGTATATATTTATTAAGAAATATTTTCATGCTGAAAAAATTTGACAAACGGTCCAAACATTATCAAAGTGTAAACTTAATTATGTATTTTATTTAAAAAAATTATACAAAACTATTTGTTGTGATAAATAAAAAAAATAATTCAATTAAAAATATATCATTCTTCTAAATTAAAATTTTCTGATTCATCACATACAAGATAAATTTCCTTATGAATATTTATGCTTGTGTAATTTTTTATACTAAAAATATAATTTATAGATCTGAATTCTTGATTTACCCCTTCAAATTTTTTTACATATAAAAAAATTAATTATGTTTCATCCATTAGTTTGCCATGTGGCATGTGTGCTTTAAAGATTTCCTCTCATAGATGATGAAAAAATGGTTAAAATCAGGTCTTTTGAATCTTAATTATTGTTTAACATTTTTTTTAAACTCCATTTCTCAATTAACTAGAATTATATAAACTAATAACGGTTTTAAATTTCTCGGATAAACATAATAATTACAGAATTTTTTTAGCAATTTTGTGGCAATACATGTGATTTTTCATGCACATTACTGAACAAAAGATATTTTTACCAACAATAATTATGAAAATAAATTTTTTGTCTTTGAAAAGCTTCATGTTGCTAACATCCAATCACAAGTATTACACTTGTACTTCATACTAGCACTTTTTTTATCAATCCATCAATGACCTTATAGACTTTGTTGGCATTAATAATTCGATGTTTTCTAAGTTAAGATGGCTATAAAATTTTTAGCCTTGAGACACTCCTATCAATTGTGTTGCAATGAGGAACATTTTTTTTAAACATAATTGAGTGAAAAATATTTTGTCAATAAAGGACTGCAAATAGATATTAAGATTATGAAATTTTTTATCTTGATTACATTCTTCATCATTGTACTTCTTCATTATTATGACTTATTATCAAAGGTTGATGTTAACAATTGGATGATTTCAAAGTCAATACATGTATTATAAGCATGTATACATATCTTGGTTTCAAAACCCTTGAACCACTTCAAGCATTTATGTTGCATAGTAGGGGGACATATTTTCATTTTTCACATGAATGAAAAACATGCATTTTTCAAAAAAATTATGAAATCCAAGGTCAAGTATTTGTAAAAAAATTCATTTTTCGAACATCCAGTCTCATACATAAGACTTTAGAAACATGATTTTATTTCTTCATCATTGCAACAACGACCACCTATGAGATATTTACATCATTATTTTCAAGTTTTGAAGCTAAAAGTGCAAAGATGTAGTATCGGCATGTATAAAGCACTTAACTTCAAAAACCTTTAAACTTCCTCTAGCATTTCTATTGCACTGTAGCGGTCACTTGCTCCACTCATAATTGACTGAAATTTGCCTTTTGCTCACATGAATAACACTTTTGCCCCTTCTAACAATAAAGTAATGAATGCTCCAAGAGGAGTTGCTAAGATGGTTAAATGTCGCACTAGTTGAAGAAAAAATGTTGATCTATACCATTCTATAGTGGGGCGATGTGTAATCAAATCTCCCTAATATGTGCATCAAAAGTGGCATGTAGTAGAATATAAGTATGTAGTAGAATATATATTGGGGCCTGGCCCCATGTTACCGGTTTGGTTCCATCCTTGTACGCTTTGATGGGGTCTTCCCATCCCTTTTGTTATTATACTTTGTCCTACTACAGTAGAATATAAGCCATCAATACATGTAACCTAACAGCTTGTATGCAAGATAAATTTGCAGCTCTTATGCTGTAGATTTGTACTGTGAAACGTGCTTTACTAGCTCACTCATTCCCTAGTCCAAATGAAGTCAAAGGTGAAGGCTCCCAAGTGAAAGCTTGTCAGTAGTGCTATAACTTTCCTATCATGCTCGAGTTGGAGCATGGAGATATCAAGTCAGCCTCTTTGAATAGAAATCGATAGAACTGCAAATGTGGAACGTTAATCTTGATAGAGGAAAGTATTTTGGATGCAGATATTGAGTTTAACTTGCGTGAAGGTGTGGGAATTGCAAAACGTGATTTGGGAAACGAGGTGATTCTTTGTTGGAACCACAGCTGAAATTTCCTTCATCATCAACATAACCTACACAGTCACCTCATTGAGGTCCACTATTAATCTCTAGATTATTGTCGCTCAATTACTGAGATTCCGGATGAATCCGCTATGATTTTTGCACTAAATTCACTTGTATAAAAATAACCTCGGCCATTTTCATGGCCTCCTTTCGGACCACATTAATCTTAATTGAGTGCTTTTTTTTCACTCACCGCTTTGGTTAATGAAGTCAGCTTGGTAGAAATATGGGCAGAAGCATGTGCTGCCACATGCTTCAACCCATATTTGGAATTTGAATCCTAATTCTAGCACATATATTTTGACACTCCTTGTTAGTGGTCGGCAGGCCTGATGAGGTTTAGGCCTAAATCACGAATTCTCTCTTCCCTCCATCACCTCGCTACTTGCTTTCGTTTGGGCTCTTCATCTAATCCTGACTCCTCCTACTCACTTTCATTCTACCCTGCTGTGAAGATCTTTCCGATTGTTGAAAATCATAATTTATTCGACATAATACCTTGTATCATTCACCTGCAAGTAAAACTTGCAGGTGAATTTCATCATTACAATATAAAAAATTTCACATTCACAAACCCCTAAAAAATTTAATGACGACATTTTAGTCAACACACAACCATTTGTAATCAATTTGGCGCTTACAACGAGGTTTGTTAGCCGAACAGTTCAACATTTGGCTTGATATGATTCACGACAGAAATTCCTTGTGCGAGCAAAAACTGCAGACCAAATAAAACCGTAACCTC